GCTTCAATGGATGCCCTCTGACCACAGACCTGGGTTGTGACTAGCCTTGCCACCACGAGGAATGCTTTGGAGATGGGTTATGGTAGATAGAATGAGGTTAAAATTTAACACCTGGTCATTTGCTCTCCCCTCTGACTCATTTAAAAGTTATTCTAGCTTTTAACATTTTCTGTTTTCTTTTCAACTGAGGTTTTCCTCTATTTTATTTCATTATTGTTGTTAGTTTTGTTATTCTTTGCTTTTGTAATTTTTAAAAATACGAAATCCTGGACAGATGACTCTATAGAGAAAGTATCGGGATGAATGGCTTCTTGCGAGCATAACAGGGGTGGTTTGGGGAAACGGGGAGCTCAAGCTTGGCGCGAAGCTGTGAAGATAGCACAGGACCGGGCAGTTTTTCCAGCTTTGCACAGGTCACTATGAATTGGAGCTGACTCAGTGGTACCTGACAACCACAGATAGATTGACAAAATTCATCTAACATTCTGTTTTCCAGATTAAAATAGAACCTGTTAGTATTTGGTTTAGGCAGGTTGACTAGAGAAACAAATCCAGTGGCTCTCATATATGTCTAAGAAAGGACTCTATCAAGAAATATTTATATATCAAGAAACCATCCCAGGCCAACTCAAGTCCCTAAGTCTGATACTAGTCCATAAGTCCATCTTAAGACTCACACAGTCACAAGCAATGATGCAGACTGCAGGAAAATGACAGGCTGGTGGGTGCAAAGTCATATGGAACCAATGGTGGTGGCATCGCAGAGCTCTGGCAACAACCAGGTCGGTCAGCAGGAAGGTGAAGGCAGAGAGAGTCAAGGGAAGGGTCCCAGAGTCCCCCTTAGGGAAGGCCACAGCCCCAGGGAGGCACCATCAGGCTGTGAGCTGATAGGCAGGTTGACTACCACCCACATAATTTTATATGTCTTCCGGTTGATATGAAATTATAGAACTACCACAGTACTGCTGCCTCTAATAAGGGTTCATATCCTGGAGCAACAGAGTCCAGTCACTAACACCAAGGGAGAAAAAGAGGGGTATTTTAGAAAGGGATGGCAGGAACAGGCTGGGAACACTGCAGGCTGTCTGGATGGAGGGCCGCTGGTGCTCAGAATGCTTAGATATTATATGCCTTTTACTTTGGAACACACACCCTGGGGGAATCACATACAGATGTTTATGTTAACTCTGGTCTCAGGATTAACACTAATTTAGTTTTGGCCAGGAGCAGGCAGATAACAATAAGGTTCTTTAAGTCTTGGGACAGGTCTCTGTTGACTAACCAGCTAGCAGGACTTGTCGTCGGGTCAGGCGGAGTTGGTTGTGACTCATGGGCACCCTGAGTGCAGTGGGAGGAGACGTAGCCGAATGCCATCCTGGGATCTGAGGTTGCATTGTTCCAGGCGCTGGTCTACTGGTGACACGGCCCAAGGGTCCGAGAGGAAGCTTGCCTTCCTCAGTTCTGGGCACTTTCTAGTAATACTTTTTCCAGGAAAAATTTGCTTGTTCTTCTGGCAGTCTATGGTATTTTCGATATTCTTTGCCAACACCATAATCCAAATGCACTGATTTCTCAGTCTTCCTTATCTAATGTCCGACTTCCACACGCCTGCCAAGCAATCAAAAAAATGCCATGGTTTGGGTCAAGTGCACCTTAGTCCTCAAAGTGACATTCTCGCTCTTCAACATTAAAGCTAATGGCTTGAACTTTGATTTCTAGCCTTGTAAATTGTGAGGGAATGCATTTCTGTTGGTTAAAACCCAAAAAAGAGAACAGAAAATATTAAAAACGGAAACACCTTTAAAATAGATCAAAAAGGAGGTTAAATAAGGTGTTCGATTTTAACCTAACTGCATCTACCATAATCAGCTTTAAAATGTCCTCTGTCTGATAGCAAGGCTGTGCACATCCATGGACTACGGGCCGAGGGGATTCACTGGAGGCTTAAGCCATGTGGGGACCTCGCAACTGGATGTTGGGCTTCCACTGTCACCCACCGCCTCTGCCAACCAGGTGTTCAGAATTTAGGTTCTAATATCATTCCTTCCTTTAGATTTGGATTTTATTATTTATAATCCTTGGATCACACAGACTGGCATGCTTCTTCCATGTGGACTTACTTGACACCTCACTTAGATAGCTGCTTGTTCTAAGACAAGCCTTTAATATGAACCCAGATGCTATTCTTTCTGATAGCCGGTGTCTAGTCTGAGTGAATGTTCTGTAATTTACCTCTAGGTTCTTAAATCCATTGTGATGACTACACAGAAACTCACAGACAAAATTCATGATTAAAAGGGTTTATTAAAGATGTGAACAAGTTGTAATGCCAGTGAGAAATGCTCAGAGTAGTTGTGTACCAAGACATGTTCCAAAGTTTCAGATCTGCTAAGTGATGCCCAAAGGACATTCCGCGCTGTGGTAAGCCCAAAGGCATTCCGCGCAAGTTCCACAGGTCGCAAACCCAGCGGCCTGCATTGCCATAAGTGCCTGGAGGCACCCCACTCAGGTTAGCCTCAGTCCAGAGACCCTCACCTTCACTTCTGTGGGTCAGCAAGTCCAATTTGCCCAAAGAAAAGACTGGGTCTTCTATAAAATGAAATGGTGTGATCACTCCTAGTTTGGGCATTTAGTTAACCTCTGGGCTTTATGATGGCTAGGGATTATGCCAACTAGGCAGTCCTGGGTAAAGGTAGGAAGGGAGCCCAACCTATCAATCAGGTTGCAGCCTGACAACCTCTCCTTGGGGGTGTGACCTTTTGTAGAAGAAAGAGACCAAGCCAAGTCAAATTCTCTATGGCCCTTTGATTTCTGCTGGAGCTGGATCTTGAATCTAGTCCCTGGATCTCCTACTGCATTGCCTGCTGATTCTAGGAGCCATCAGCCATCAACACATAATACCCCCCACACACACATCAGCACCCCCTCAGTGACCCCTCTCCACCCCCCACCCTCCACATACATATGTCGACTTCCTCATCCTGTTTCCTGTTCATCAGTTTCTGCAAGTCAGGAAAAACCTGGCTTGAACCAGACTGGACGTACCTACTTCTACAATGTGATAGACATGTCTTTCTAGATACAAACATGTGCAATTGTCATTAGAGGACCCACCCTAACACAGGCTTACTGGGAATAAAGGAAGGGCCCAAGTGCGTGGAAACAATTTTGACAGTGGGGATACTTAAATGTTTGAAGTTGGCTGTATATCTAAAAAACAGACTACTAGGGAAAACAGGGAGGATCAACATCCCATTGGGAAAAAGTGCTTACCAATGCTTACGTGGAAACCTGAGGGAGAATATACCCGGTTCCTGATTGGACACTTTTGACCTAGTTTCTCTCCAGCCCGTGGTGACCCAGTCTGTGCTATAGAATACTGGCACTTTACACTCTGTTCTTTTGGGGTGCACATCCTTTATAGGCCATGCCAGAAGACTCGACGTGGAAATCTTGGTGAGTGGCCTGGCCTTTAGCTCAAACTCACCTGTAGCCCTAGGACTTGAGGCGGAAACTTTGTGGTGTGAGAAGAGGCAGATGCTATATACTCTTGCTCTGCCAAGGGTAAAGAACTGGCAGCTGTTGGATTTGGCGAATCTCTTGCCTTGAGGGTGCCCGATGAATGGTGGCCCGGGACTACCATATACCTACAATTTTAATACCCTCCTTGCTTTATATGTATTAATCTGGTGGTCCTGGGTCTGATGCAGTCAGTGAATATTATTGGAAGTTTTACCTTATCAACAACACCCACTTTTGTGTTAACAGTTTTAAATCGTTTAAGAGTTTAATCTGTACGTCACTAATTCATGTATTGCAGTTTATAGCTAGCTTTTAAATTCTATACTATTTAGCTACTCTCTTTTTAATTTCCTCAACAGTGCTTTAAATTCTATACTATTAGCTGAACTAATGACACTACCAATGGGTGGTGGTTACACATTGGGTTGCTGACCACAAGGTCGGCAGTTTGAAAGCACCAGTCAGCTCCACAGGGGCAGGATGAAGCTCTCTGCTCCTGTGAAGCGCGTGGGCTCGGGCCCGCACAGGAGCAATTCTACGGGGTCTCTCTGAGCGAGCACTGACTGGACGCCAATGGAAGTGATGACGCAGGTGATGGCGGGTCATACTCGCCCACATAAAATGGCGATACCTCCAAAGTGAACCAGAGACATAGATCCACCAGAGACATATGGATAGAACTGGGGCTCGCACCCAATTCTAGCCCCAATATAAGCACAAGGCTTACCTCTACACGTCTAGAGATTTCATCTAAAAAACAAAAGACCCTTTGGCGAGATCGTTTGCTATTAGTATCAAATACTAACGTGAACGCAGTGACTTCTAGTTGGGAGAGAGAACAGGGAACAAAAAGGCAGTCAAAAAGAACATATCAGAGTGCTCACAATAATTGTCTATTCATCATGGCTCAACGATGGATACATTTTTTTCTATTTTTCTCTTTTTTCTGATAATATCATGTTTACTTAAATAAGAAAATGAAAGAATAAGCTACCTATAGTACCACTTGGGTTTTCTAAAACTTTAGGATAATTCAGAGGATAATTTAGAGAAAGTATTTCCTTCTAACCCCTTTTCCCTTAAAAAATATTTTAGCAAGAATAGAAAAAATTGGGAGGTCCTAAAACAGTAGTGAAAGAGCCCTGGTAGCACTGTCAGGTAAGTTTTGGACTGCTAACCACAAGGTTGGTGGTTCAAAGCCACCAGTTGCTCTTCGAGAGAAAGAGGAGACTGCCTGCTCCCATGACGATGTATAGCCCTGGAAGCCCCATGCAGGGCTGCTCTGAGTTGGAATTGACTTGATGGTAGTGGGTTAGGTTTGGTTAGGTAATGCAGTATTAATATTGCTGCAGGTTTCTTTTCCCATTGAGTCCACTGCATTATGTAGAATAAACTACTTACAATGACATATAGAGACGGATAACTCAGAATATTTATTCAATGGATGAGTTACAAGATGGATACTGATGGATGAATATAATTGTTTAACTCATAGTGAACATGAAGCTTTTAAATGTGTAATATATGTGTAAAGTTTACACTCAAATTTCATTTTTTTAAAATACCTGATCCTTTAAGATTATGTCATAGCACACGAAGCACTGGTGAGGTCAATGTCACCAGAGATTTTCAGTTGGTTGATTTCATGAAGATTTTTCATCCGATGGTTGTACTGCAGCACTTGAGTATCATTGACGGCAACCTTGAAGTAGTCGTCTGCAACCGGGATTTGGATCTGCAATGGCACATACCCAGGGCTGTTAGAGATGCCGACCCATGTCAAAGCCAACACTTCACCTCTACATTCAACTATAGAATGGAACCTAGGCCAGACACAGGCACTTGACCAACCAAAAAAAAAAAAAAGACTCAAAATTAATCAAAGATGTAAGCAAACAAAAGAAATGACAAAATTATTAGACGGCATTACACAGGCAAAGCCAGAAAGGAAAAGATTACTAACTGGTCCACATGTATGCCGCTGAATTGTACATATAACACTTGAATTGGTGCATAATTTATTATTTATATTATAATTTATATTTATAATTTATATTCTCAACAACAGAAGAAGTAAACTCTTTAACAAAAATCGTGGGCTCTTTGATGGCTTAAAACACATAAACATCAATCCTGTGGTAGGAAGGCCCTAACAGAGTGGAAAATGTTACAGTGACAGATAATAGCTGGTTTGCGCCAGAGTGGGAGGAGCATGTTCTTCTAGCGGACAGTGGGTCTGCTGGTCCTCATATCCCTTTGGAAGCAGGAATTTGACAACATATAAAATTTAGGAGCTCTGGCAGCATAGTGGGTTACACACTGAGGTGCTGACCAGAGAGTCAGTGGTTCAAACCCACCAAGACCTCGTCAGGAGAAAGATGAGATTGTCTGTCCCTGTAAAGACTTAAGTCTCTGTCCTACAGGGGGTGAAGAGTCAGAACCGACTTGATGGCAGTGGCTTTGTTTTTCGGGTTTGTCTGCATTTTAAACCTGTGCTCCTTGCATGAAATTATTCTACAAAACAAAGATTTATGTATATGGCTTGTTATTACAGCAGTTTGGTTAAAATACATCTAGAAATGAACTCCATCCTTTGGGGCCTGAGATTGTCTAAACCAGGAGTCCTCAAACTACGGCCCACGGGCCACATGCGGCCCGCCGAGGACATTTATCTGGCCCGCCAGGTGTTTTTGCCCTGTTTTGTTTTTCACTTCAAAATAAGATATGTGCAGTGTGCATAGGAATTTGTTCATAGTTTGTTTGTTTTTTTAACTCTAGTCCGGCCCTCCAACGGGTCTGAGGGACAGTGAACTGGCCCCCTGTTTAAAAAGTTTGAGGGCCCCGGGTACTCTAAACAATGAAAAACTATTAAGTAAGGTATGGACAGATGGCCCCCAAATGAAGACTGATCAGCATGAGCCCTGCCCTGCGGTTCTTACCATCCAGCTGTTTCAGTGACCATTCTAGCCCCACCTTTTGTCTGTCCATTTCTGCGTGTTGCTCTGAGGCTGGAGCTTATGACACCAGTCTTTCAAATGCCAGCAGGAACACCCAAAGTGACGGGGGTGCAGCAGCGCTTCCAGACTACGGATGGACAATGAAGAAGGACCGCTGCCCACTAGAGGAAGGAGCCCCGGAAAGCCTTAGGCATAGCTTTGAAAGCCGGGCAACATGCTGAAGTCCCAATAAATGGAAGCAGAGTTTTCAGAGAGTGCCGGAGCATGGACCCCTCGGGGAGGCGGGCACTCAAACTGTGACCGAGGAGGAGCTGATTTCTTGGACATTAATGAGCTAAAATGGACTGGTATTAGTCATTTTGAAACAGAAAATCATATGATTTACTATACTGGGGATAATACAATCAGGAGGAATGGCATGGCACGGCACAGCATTCATTGTCCAAAAGAACACTGCAAAATTGACCGTGAAGTAAAAGGCTGCTGTGAGAGCACTGTGTCTACCCACATTCAAGGAAATCCAATAGCTATAACATTATTAAAATGTATGCACCAGCCACAGAAGCTAGTGATGATGAGATTTAAGAATCTTACCAATGACTTCAGCCAGAAGTTGATCAAACATGCGATCGGGATGCTTTGATAATTATTGATGATTGGAATACAAAAGATAGAGAAAAAGATGAAAGGCTAAAAGTTGGAAAATGTGGACTTGGTGATAGAAATTAAGCTGGAAATGACATGATAGAATTCTGAAAAATCACATGATAGAATTCTGAAAAAGAATTCTGACTTGTTCAAAACAAATACCTTTTTTCAACAACACACTTGGACTTCTCAGGTGGAAGACACAAAAACTCAAATTGATGGCATCTGTGGGAAGAGATCCTGGAGAAGTTCAATATCAGCAGCTAAACCCAGGCCAGGGGCCAACTGCTCATCTCTAAGTTCAGGATAAAGCTGAAGAAAATGAAAACCAGCCCATGAGATATGACCTTGAGTCAGTCCCACCTGAGTTTAGAGAACATTTCAAGAACAGTTCTGATGTTTGAACACTATTGACCGAAGACTGGCTGAGCTGTGGGAGGACGTCAAGAACATCATCTGTTAACAAAGCAAAAGGTCATTAAAAAGCAGGGGGCGCGGGAAGCTCAAAGGGGATGTCAGAAGAGACTGAAATTTGCTCTTCATCCTAAAGAGCTAAGGCAAATGGAAGAAAAGATGAAGTTAAAGAACTGAATAGAGAAGGTCAAAGGGCAGCTGGAGAAGACACAGTCAAATATTAAAATGAAATGCGCAAAGACCTAAAGCTAGAAAACCAAAATATTGAAGGATGCGGGAAGCATCTTGGCCAACTGACTGAAGAGATCCATATTTGTACCCATTCCAAAGGAGAGTGACCCCACAGAATGCTCAACTAGAGAACAATATCACTGACGTCACATGCAAGTGAAATTTTGCTGAAGATCATCCAACACTGGTTGCAACAGTACATAGGCAGGGAGTTGCCAGATTCAGGAGAAGGCATGGAACGAGGACTATCATTGTTCATGTCAGATGGATCTTGGCTCAAAGCAGAGAATACCAGAAAGATATTTACTTGTGTTTTATTGACTATCAAGGCATTTGACTGTGGGGATCATTACAAACTATAGACAACTTTCAGAAGAATGGGAATTCCAGAACAATTCAATGTGCTCAAGAGGAACTTGTACATGGATCATGAGGAAATTGTGAGAACAGAACAAGGGAATATGGCATGGTTTAAAATCGGGAAAGGTGTGCGACAGGGTTCTATCCTCCCACCATACTTATTCAAACTGTCTAAGCAAATCATCCCATAAGCTGCATTATAGAAGAAGAATGCGACATGAGGCTTGGAGGACGACTTATTAACAACCTTCAGTCTTCAGATGACACAGTCTTGCTTGCTGAAAGAGAGGAGGGCTTGGGACACTTGCTGCTGAAGGTCAGGATGGCAGTCTTGAATGCAGATGATCACTCAATATAAAGAAGACCAAAATCCTCCCAACTGGACCAACAGGTAACATCATAACCAATGGAAAAAGGTCGACATTGTCAAGGACTGTGTCTTGCTGGGATCCACAATCAGTACTCATGGAAGCAGTCGGGAGATCAAAGGACAAGTTAAATCTGCTGCACAAGACCTCTACAGAGTAGTGAAAAGCCAGGATGCCACTCTGAGGACTGGGGCGCACCTGACCCATCATCGCATTTCCCATTGCCTCTCATGCATGTGACAGTTGGACACTGGTGCTCATTTCAGCAGCACAGGCACTAAAATTGGAACAACACCGAGAAGACTCGTATGGCCCTTGCACACGGGTGACACACAAAATTAAAATCGTTGAAAAGAAAGAAAAAAGCGGCACATTGAATATGGCAGACTGGAGAAG